TTATTGTTTCAAGGTGTATATTTAAATCCTTGATCCATTTTGAGTTGATTTTAGTATATGGTGAGAGGTATGGGTCTAGTTTCATTCTCCTCCATATGGATATCCAGTTCTCCCAGTACCACTTGCTGAATGGTGTCAGAAAGTATGTCAGAAAGAGGCACTCCCTACCCCAGTGAATAGGCTTGGTGCCTTTGTCAAAGATCAGATGGCCGTAAGTGTGTGGGTTGATTTCTGGATTCTCTATTCTATTCCATTGATCAGTGTATCTGTTTTTATGCCAGTACCATACTGTTTTGGTTATTATAGCTTTGTAGTATAGCTTAAAGTCAGGTAGTGTTATGCCTCCTGCTTTATTTTTTTTGCTCAGCATCGTTTTGGCTATGCGTGGTCTTTTATTATTCCATATAAATGTCTGGAGAGTTTTTTCCTATTTTGAGAAAAATGTCTTTGGAATTTTGATGGGGATTGCATTGAATTTGTATATCACTTTGGGTAGTATGGCCATTTTCACAATGTGGATTCTTCCAATCCAAGAGGATAGGATATCTTTCCATCTTCTTGTATCCTCTCTAATTTCTCTCAGTAGTGGTTTGTAGTTCTCATTATAGAGATTTTTCACATCCTTGGTTAACTCAATTCCTATGTATTTTATTTTTTTGGTGGCTATTGTAAATGGGCAGACTTTCTTGACTTCTCTTTCTGCATGTTCACTAACGGAGAAAAGAAATGCTACTGATTCTTGTGTGTTGATTTTGTATCCTGCTACTGAACTGAAATCATTTATCAACTGCAAGAGTTTTTTTGTAGAGGCTTTAGGCTTTTCGATATATAGGATCATGTCATCTGCAAACAGGGATAGCTTGACTTGTTTTCCAATCTGGATGCCCTTTATTTCCTTCTCTTCTCTGATTGCTCTGGCTAGTACTTCCAATACTATGTTGAATAGGAGTGGTGAGAGTGGGCATCCTTGTCTAGTTCCTGTTCTTAAACGAAAAGCTTTCAGCTTTTCCCCATCCAGGATGATATTTGCAGTGGGTTTGTCATATATGGCTTTAATTATGTTGAGATACTTTCCGTCTAAACCTAACTTATAGAGGGTCTTTGTCATGAATGAGTGCGAATTTTATCAAATGCTTTTTCAGCATCAATAGAGATGATCATATGGTCCTTGTGTTTGACTTTATTAAAATGGTGTATCACATTTATTGATTTGTGTATGTTGAATCAAGCTTGTATCCCTGGTATGAATCCCACTTGATTGTGGTGAATAATTTTATGTATGTGTTGCTGTATTCTGTTTGCTAGTATTTTAGTGAGGATTTTTGCATCTATATTCATCAAGGATATCGGCCTGTAGTTTTCTTTTTTGGTTATATCCTTACCCAGCTTGATTTCTTCTTGGACACATAAGTCATTAAGTAGAATGCTGTTTAATTTCCATGTGTTTCTGTAGTTTCCAGAGTTTCGTTTGTTATTGGTTTCTAGTTTTAATCCATTGTGGTCTGAGAAAATACAGGGGATAATTCCAATTTTTTTGAATTTGTTGAGACTTGGCTTGTGTCCTAATATGTAATCTATCCTGGAGAATGATCCATGTGCTGATGAGATGAATATTCTGAGGTTGTTGGATGGAATGTTCTGTAGATATCTGCCAAGTCCAATTGGTCTAGAGTATTGTTAAGATCTTGTGTTTCTCTGCTGATTCTTTGCCTAGATCTGTCCAATATTGACAGTGGGGTGTTCAGGTCCCCTGCAATTATGGTATTAGTGTCTATTTCCTTCTTTAGGTCTAACAGAGTTTGTTTTATAAATCTGTTGGCTGCTCCAACATTGGGTGCATATATATTTATGATTGTTATGTCTTCTTGATGCATCAGTCCTTTTATCATTATGTAGTGACCCTCATTGTCTCTTTTTATGGATTTTAGTTTAAAGTCTATTTTGTCTGATATGAGTAGAGCTACTCCAGCTCGTTATTCTTTTCCATTTGCATGGAAGATCTTTTTCCATCCTTTCACTCTTAATCTATGTGAGTCTTTATGGGTGAGATGAGTCTCGTAATAACTTCGTATAGCATACATTATACGAAGTTATCGAGACAATGCCATGTTAAAAGTGTGCTTAAACATACATCCTAAATGTCACTGAATCAAAGCTAAGAAAGACC